TATATATATATATATATATATATATATATATATATATATAATTTTGCCCAGCTAGAACAGAGAGGCGCGCGAGAATGCTGGGACCCTTTTTCCAACTGAATCCCTGCTCTTTTTCTCCCTCATGTCCCTCTATTATCGCACAAACTTGCCCCCACTTCCTCGCCGCCTCGGCCATATGTAGACCTGCAGCTAGTTCGTGATGGTCAGTATTGCTTTGTGCCATGGAATAACATAGCGCAGACCACACTTCAATATTGAGCATAAATCAAAAAAATCTGCGTAAAACAGAAAGCCGTGTCTGGGTGCGTCCTTGTGTCTCATCCTTTTTTAAAATGTTCTGAACCCAACAATACCTTCGACAAGCTCACTGCGACACACTGCTGCAGCCCTTAAAGTAGCTAAAATAGCGGCAGCTGGTAATGCTGAAGATTTGGGTGTGATATTGGCTGCAGAAATGGTAAAACAATGCGGATATTTGAAAATGGACATGATGTCTCTCATCAATACACCACTAGCACCTATCCAGACATCTATAGTTAACTTCCAAGAGGTGGTGGATATCTGCAAAAGACCACAGGAAGACAACGCTTCATTGATTTAGGACAGAATACATTTTTTCTTTTTTAATGGGACATAAATAAGAATGTCACCGGTATAACAGTAGAAAAACAAACATGTTTTCTTATCATGGAGCAAATACAGAGAGAAGGGGGCCTGATATTGTGCCCTGTGGAATGCCACGCAAAGGAATAACAGAGGAAGCTGCATGTTTCCCAAGGCCTTTTAGATCTCCTTACTCCTATATATTTAGTTAGAATCCAGTAATTAAACTACATAGATATAAATAGAGCCCCAGATCCAAAAAAACATTTAATAAATGCCTTATTTTCTTTTATTATTCTTTCATTGCAGAATGTATCAGGACACAAGGAAACTTCTGTTGGTGTAATGTTATAAAATGTACAAAAAAAAAAATGTGAGGCTTTTCTGCTAAGAGAGTCAGTTCTGATCTGAAATTATGCATTGTTTTTAATTTATTTCTGACTAAAAACTAGAAATATTCACCAGCTATAATGTTTAAAATGGTGGTTTGAAGGTTAAAAGGATCATGCACCAATATCTAATACAATATTTTTGAAATGGGTTGTTTTAAGACAGTTTGGACTTTTATTATTATCCTGATTTATATTCATTATCTATTCAATAAAGATGCCTAAAGAGTTATCCGGTGTAGCTGAGATATCAACTGTTGCTAACTTTTTGTTAAACATTCCTTTAATGAAACACTCAGAAATATATCTTTTTAGGCTCTAATACAGAATATAAATGTGTGTTTTAAGAGCTCTCATATTAGGTGCATCTGATATTGACATTTTGAGAGCCTGTTTTGATGTCAGCAGCATCTTGGTGACATATTTTGGTCCTATATTTTTATAGATATCGGACACCTGCTGTATTTCCAACAGGTTGTGGATTTTGTTCAAATAATTCTGAGCATCGCTTTGATAAAATCATGAATATTTTTCCTTCCTGGGAACACTCTGTCTGCATGTCCTGTTTTTGTTTTCCATGTCTCGTTCGTGTCTAGAAGCATTTTTATAAAACGGACTGAGGGGAAATTCCTTGGTGTTTTTCATCCCCCCCCCACACCCATTCAGCATTAATGTCACATGGACTGGCAGCTGAGCATATTTATTTTACTTTTCACAAAGCAGCAGGTAAGTCTTTGAGAAGAGCATCAAAAATATTACCCCCACCCCCAGCCACCCACCCACACATAAATAAACTAACGCCCTAAAGCCCAGCCTGCATTGGAATGTAGTAATTCAGAATTTTTATGAATGACTGCATTCATGGTTGGCCACGCCCATTTAACAGGAACCCCAGCTTTCCGAGCTGAAACCCTTGAAGGCTCCACCTTTTTACCTTTTAAGGACAGGTGATGCATGCTGATTGGACAAAGGGCATAAGGAGGCGCGGCCACCCAGCAAAGCACAGGGGTGATATAAAAACAAGGCTCAAACTGTAAACGATCAACATTTACAAGTGATGGAAGACCCCTGAGGATGAATCTGGAATTTGGATATAATCCATGTGGGCAGAAGTTGGATGTGGGATTAAATCTGTGTGACATTAACTGTTTATAAGATCAACTTGTCTCCTATGAGCATCACCTGACTGAGATCATGGGGATACAGTTATTATTTGCCGCTTTGGGAGTGGCAACAGTGGTGGTGGTGAGTACATGCAGCTTTATCTTTATTTCTGCTGCTGTTTTGCTTCATAGAGACTCTAAAGGCCGAGTCTGTCTGCTCTGGCTGAGCTGCTGTCTCCTGTTACCTTCCAGACAGCTCATTATAGTCTGCTTCTTATGTGACAAAAAAAGAAATGAGGATTTAATTAGGTGGTTCTTTTTAAACGTTCTGTTTAAAATAGGGCTTTTCTGCCGGAATGTAAAAAAAAAAAATCTTTTGCAGAAATAGAAATATTGCTCTTTCAATACATTTAGTTTATTAAACACCATTATCTTTTATAAATCTGCAAAAACATCACAGAAACACCTATACAATTGTGAAATTTTGTATTATTTTAGCTTGTAGGATCTGTCTACTTTTAGCATAAAACAAAAACAATAAAAGTCAGACTGTCATAGCATGAGTCTCCTTCCCCATGCAAATACATAAGAGTTTGGGGATATTAAAATTACATTTTTTTGTTTGTTTACTATTGTTTTCTTTCATATTTTATACATTTCAATTATCAAATTATGAAATACCTAATAAAACATTAAAGTATTCATTAGCTTTGGAGTTTGGGACAATACTTTATGGATCTGTGCAGGGCCGGCCCAAAATGTTATGGGGCCTTGGGCCCAATATATCCCTCACAGCCCCTTTCAGCCTTGTTGATGTGTGTCATGTCATCTGCTTCTGCCAACCTTGTTCCACTTGCACACCATGTGAAAGTTTTTCACGGACCCCAGCATTTTGTGAACATGGTGACCGTGCCCTCTGAGTCACACATAAAAAGTAGTGCAAAACACAAGTAACAACAAATGGTGAATCAGAACACAAAACGTAAGTGCAGCTGATGGGATAATTTCAATTAAGCTCACTAAAATCCTTCACAAAGTGAATTAAATATTATTTGTTTAGAAAAAAATTCCTTTTTGTTTTTTTTTTTTACAAAAACTGAAATTTATTCCAGACTATTATTTTAGCCAATATCTATTATGTAAAACTTTAAGAAAGATATGAAAATGTAGTTTACCTGGCTTTTTTCTGACTTATTTGCGTTATTTGCGTTTGTGTTGAATATTTAAATACAATTAGTTTTAATAGAGTCTGAATAAAATTGAAAATAAAATCTTATTTAAAAAAAATCTATTGATATATGGACATACCAAATGTCTTAGTTGGAATTTGGAGAGCTCTTTGGGGCCACCTATTGGTAGGAGGACCAAGGTATAACTGTTATACCTTAGGTCAGCTCTGTGTGAGAGGTTATATTCTTTAATAAGTATTCTATTTACAGGCTGGTTTCCATCCTACTGTGTATCTGTACTAGAGTATACAGTAGTTCCAAGAGAGGTAAAAATAAACTTCAAGTTCAAACGAGCTTGTTGCACTGTGCAAATCCTCACCTGCATTAAATGACTGTTCCCTAAGGGAGTTTTAGGTTGTAAACTGTAGGCATTAGGAGGGAAACCCTTTATCTGTTGATCAATGTAAAAGTCTTAACTGTGAGTTAAGAGTGGGAAAGGATCCCACTGGGACTGACAGCGCCCCCCCAAATGGGAGTTGTTTGTGTGGTTTTTCTGCGTGTTTTATTTCTGAGCATAGACACAGATAGGTTTGGAAACAAAAGATGAAGGGTGGAGGAAAGGGGTCGGAGAACATCCCTTTCATCCCCGCAGGCCGGGTGAATGCCAAGCGGAAGGCGACAGAGGGTTACAGATACCCCTGTGGGGCTCACGACAGTGCTGACTATTCAGGCGCTTTTAAAGCCACACACACTCTCAGGAATTTCTGTGATCTCAGTAACACGAGTCAAGCTTTTCTCCTTCCTCCATGCCTAGTGTGGATAGTTATTCTGACACTATGTGTGTAAAATGAAACGTGTCCTCCTCTTGCAGGTGACTGCTGACTGTCCGGTAGTGTGTGAGTGCCCAGCGGTGCCCCCATCCTGCCCCCCTGGGATAAGTTCAGTCCCGGATGGTTGTGGCTGCTGCAAAGTGTGCGCCGCACAGCTGAACCAAGACTGCCACGAGGGACGACCGTGTGACCACCATAAAGGACTAGAGTGCAACTACGGCAACGATGTGGGTCACACCCATGGCATCTGCAGGGGTACGTTGCACCTATAGGCGGCAGGAAGGTGGAAAAATCCAGAGCTTTTCGCTCTATAACATAACTAAGGGTTTAGTGAGGCAATGTGTAACTTAAGGGAGGAGAGTCTGGCTTTCAAGCCAGGCGGCTGGGGTCCCTCTTTGATAGGGAGTCAAGGTTTGAGGACTGTGCCACGTTTCAAAAAAACAGAGGCCCTTCATGAGCTGTGAGTGAAACCCAGCCAACTCTGGGATTTATATAAGTACTTCGGTGTGTACACAAACACTCCTCGTGAAACGCACAAACAGGCACGCACACACTGGTATTTATATGTGTTTGCTGGGGGTTGGGGGGGGTATTCTATCTGGGGTTTGTACGGGGAGTCCCACAGAGGGGGGTGGGGGTATGTGCCAGGACAAGACATTATAAACAAGCCAAAACAGCATTCTGCTCTAAGAATAGCGCCTGCTTCATAAATCCTCATGTTACGACCACAAAATGAGGAAAAAGTGAAATGTGGTTTCCAGCATTACTTACAAATAAGAATCCAACCAAAGTGGTGTGCCTTCTTATTCAGTTCCCTGTGCTTTTATAACCTTAAGGTAAAAATTCAGTACACCCAACTGCCTTCAACACTCACCTAAATATTAGCCTCCACCTTTGGGTAATTTAATCTCTGCTTTAATCCAGCAGTTATGTTCTTTTCAGAATATTAGAGAAACAAACATCCCCTTGAAGATCAAGGAACACAGCAAACAGGTCATGGAGAAAGTCATGGTTTCTCATTTCAAAGCAGCAAACGTATGCGTACGGCCCCAGCAGATTGGAAGATGGATAGGTCACAACTTAAAAGAAAACCACATAGAGGCAGCTCTACACACACACACTGCAAAACCTGATCCTAAATTAGTAGAAAGGCCTTAAAATAAGTGTATTTGCCTTCAGTTTGAGCAGGTTAAGATATTATGTGCTTGTAATTAGATAATTGAGTTATTAAAGAGAAAAAATCTAATAAACTTATGTCATTAGAAAAAATCGTTGAATACGGTACCTAAAATTTTGTTGAATAAAATTTGACATAGCTGTCTTTCATTTATTTTGCAGTGTAGCAAGAGCTACAACGCAAATAGTTTTCATGACTTAGAGTTTCTAAGTCAAAAACAAAGAAGCATGTAGCCTTTTATTTCTACTTTACAGTTTATGTGCTGCTCTGCACTGGTCTATCGCATACAATTTTAGTATAATAAATTAAAGCTAGCATACTGATAAATCACACTTCTGCACGCATGCATAATAAATAGATTTGATCACATTGGTGTTTTGTATTTTAGTTCCTGCAAAGTACCAAGTTATATGTTAATACACTTGGATTAATACATTTACCTCCAGAACTTCTAGAACGGAGGTCTTCAACAGGGGGTCCATGACCCCTAGGGGGGCCACATAGGTACTGCATGGGGGGTCACGAAAGTTTTGGTTGATTAGACTTTTTTTTATATTCCCCCTGCAATTCTTTCCACTAATTGAAATGTCTTTTAATCCACATTAACATGAATTCAGCACACTGTAGTAAACAGATAAATGGAGGCAGAAGATGTCTTTCAGTCATTCGCTGAATGTGTGCATTGGAATCAGAATCAGAACCACTTTAATAATCCCACGGCGAGATTACTTTGTTACATTACTCCATCTGTAATAGAGTGACTATAGGACCAGTTTGATATAACACAATTTCATACAATATATGGGGGTCATTAAAGACCATTTCTCTTGATAAAGGTTTCTGTGCTGAAAACAGTACTTACTCTTTAAGATCAGGGCTATTTTCTCTTAAAACAAAAGTATCACGCTGTGGTATGATGTAGGAAAGGAAAGAGAGGCAGACAGATATTTCATGCAGGGATAGAAGTTTATTGAAATTAATATCAAGAAATTGCTGCAACTAAATACTCTCCATGCTCCGGCTCTTTATGTTGCAAAGAATGTACCTTTTTGACACATGGGAAAGTCCAACAAGACGTAACGCTGTAATGCAGGCAGGAGTATTAATGTTATTTGGTGATGCTAATAGGAAGCTGGCATGGATAGAAAGCATAACAGCCTGTTTGTTAAACCATTTTCTTTATTTCTTTATCCATTGAATGTCTGGTGTCTGATCCGACAAAGCGTCCAGCATGATTCATATGTGTTTTCTCTATTGTCAGAGCTGATCAGCTCCTGCTTTCTACACTTAGGAAATCCCCGTCTGTACTGCAAATTTCCAACGTTGCAGCTTATTCCTGAAGATTCCAAACAGCAAGACTTTGGATTAATGCAATGAAGGCCTAATCCCTTCTGTTCAAGTCTTTACACTCCTAATATGGTTTTAATTTCATGTTGTTATACCAATGAGCATGAATTCTTTAAAAGATCTAGAAACTGGGTGTCTATCAACAACTAGACAGGTCAGACAGCTCTTAAAATTAGCCAATGAAATAATAATAATAAAAAAAACTTTTTTTTAAGCTCACATGTATTTTACAAATTTAGGCAAATCATAGAGCTTGTTTGATCCATTTAATTAGCAAAAACACTTTTAGAAATCAAACATGTGTGGACAAATTTTTACATAGTTGTAAAGACAACATTTTTATTCCAACCAATATTTCCTTATACCTTTTATGCTTAATTCCTTTCCAGGTAAGATAGGGATGAATGAGCTTAAATGGGAATGTTTTTTGGGACCGTGAGAGGAAACCAGAGAACCTAGAGGAAATACAAACATGCACGGGTATAACGTGTGCTTCTAAAGGGTCCTAAATATAGGGCAATAAATGTGTGGTTCGCCTAAATTTGAGCATCAGATCTTCTGTCAGTCTTGGAAATTCTTCCGATTCTCAAACTAGAACATCTTCTTGTATCTTTCCAGCAAAGGCAGAGGGCCGCTCCTGCGAATACAACGGACGGATTTATCAAAACGGCGAGAACTTCCGTGCCGGCTGCAAACACCAGTGCACGTGCATTGACGGAGCTGTCGGCTGCATGTCCCTTTGTCCCAGCCACGTGCCTCTAGCTTCTCCCTCCTGTCCTGCCCCAAAGCTGGTGAAGGTGCCCGGCCAGTGCTGCCTCAGCATCGACTGCCATAAGGGAACCACCGTTGTGCCCCCAGCGCATCGGCGACCCAAACCCCCTACCTACCGCCCTTACCCCTTCATTCCCTACCCTGGCTATCCATATGCAAAGCCCTACCAGAAACCTTACCGGAACCTCTACCCTTACAAACCCAAAAAAGAGAAAGGTACCATGGGCAACGAACTGCTGGAGGTGCAGGGCACATGGGACAAACCACGTGGAAATAAAGACCTGACAGGTACGAAATTTCGTCTCCCCGTCACCTGAGAGTGGCGTCTGCTCACTCTACCCAGTCATGCATCATGTTTATGTTCTAGCCATATTTGCCTCTTGACGCACTACCAGCCTCAATGTGAGCCTTCTCTGCGTCTGTGCTGGTGTGTTAGCGTTTATGTGAGGGCTGTTTTCCACTGGCCCCTTGCACACCAGAGGTGCTCTCCCCCTCTCACACAGCACATACCTCTGTCACGCAGCTCTCCCCTCTCTGTAATCACCTTCTGTATGTGTCAGTGCTGCCTGTAGCCTGAATAAGGCCAGTGTGCCTCATAACCACGTATTTCTGCTTTCCCTCGCCGCTCCTGATTAGAGCTTTTTCCACCACCATCATTTTTGATAATCCTGTGGCTCTTTCTCTGTCAGTACCCATTGTTATGTGCACTCACTTGTCTTTTCTTCCATCTCTTCTAGTCTGGAGCAAGTTGGGAGATCAATGTGTGGTTCAGACAACCTCCTGGTCCCAGTGTTCCCGAACCTGCGGGATGGGTGTTTCCTCTCGTGTTACTAACGACAACGCCCGGTGTAAGCTGGTCAAGGAGACACGGCTGTGCAACATTCGGCCCTGCAGCTCTATGTCTATTCCTGTGAAGGTGAGGAGTGATTTGGAGCCTTCCCTTAAAGGTCTAAGAGCATGCAGTCAAACTGAAGAAATGGTTTCCCTTATGGGGTCACTGGTGCTAGGATTATGCCCACTACCTTAAAAATCGCAATAGTTGAATCATCAACCTTAATATCAAGAGGAGAAACATATTAGCATCTCTTAAGCCCCATTTCCACTACCGTTTGCAAACCGATCCGTGCAGCTTGGTTCCTTACAACCTTTTTTACGCGCCACGCTAGCACAGTTCCTTGCCTCCTAGTGTGGATCTGCGGTACTACTGCTCTCTAGAGGGAAACGAGCAAACCAATATGGCGGCGCCTGTAACATTCAATGTTTGCAAAGAGTCAGGCAAAGTCATTGGTGAATTTACTCCACAGAGTCGGCTTTTGGAAAGTGGATACAACAATCAATAGTCTGATCAGGGTTTACAGACGCAAGAAACAATGACAGGAGTTTAGGTTGATCACAGTCAGTGGCGGTTCTAGACCAAATGTATCAGGGGGCCAGCATGTGTTCATCGGGGGCACAGAAAACCCTGAAATAAAAAAACAGGGTAAGGGATTCATATATATATATATATATATATATATATATATATATATATATATATATATATATATAT